AGCCATTTTGCACATATTTTCTTAATCTTTGAAGTAGGCAACTTCTTCAATTTCTCTCTCTGAACTGGCAGCCTCACCATGCCTTATCACACTATGTATGCCACTATGCCTCTTAAATCTCTCAAACCAACCTTTGCTGGCCTTAAATTCACTCGCAACACCACTAGTTGCAGGCATTTTTCTAATTAAATCCTCGTGCAACTTCCTAGCCTTTTCACTTATGATCGCTTGTGAGATGCTATCGCCTGCTATCTGTTTTTCGTTTATCCACACCAGTAACAGTCTCTCAACATCTTCTATCACTTGCAATCTCTGTTTCGAAAGCACAGTTAAACCTTTGGCAAGAACAGCTTCCTTGATTGCCGTTCTCTTGGACACAATAGAAGCGATGGTTGATTGGGGTTTACTATACAACCTGGCCAGCTCGGAGACACACACTCCACTTTCTTACTTAGCAATGATCTCTTTCTTCATCTCCATAGTAATTCTCACCCTTATTCCTGTAGGGTTGGCACTAGAAGCTTTCTTGGGGCCCATGGTCACTTATTTTTCAGGTGAAATCACTATAAAAAGGCTGTAATAATACGAAATGTTCCGATTGTATGCTTGAATGTTACCGCGGAGGCTGGCTTGTAAACAATGCCACTGGCAGAACAAGTGAGGCTGGCTCAGGCCGCATGGACGTGTCTCGGACGAATCGCGTTGAGCAAATTTTTTAACACTATGTGAGGCAAAATTTTAGCGATAAAATGTATCGCTATGCGGATTTAACACTATGCGATGCCAACGTTATGCGGGGGTCCACTGTATATACCTGGAAAGTACTCGAGGGCCTGGTCCCAAATCTGCACACTGCCATAACATACTGGAGTGAGAGATATGGCAGAAAGTGTAAAATAAACCCAGTGAGAAGCAGGGGTGCAGTGCGGACAATAAGGAAACAATGTATCAACATCCAGGGTCTCGAACTATTCAACATCTTACTAGAAGATATCAGAAACACGGCTGGAATAAAAGTAGAATCCTTCAGGAGGAAACTGGACAAGTATCTTTACCAGGTGCCAGATCAACCAGGCTGTACTCACCTAGTTGAGGTTGCAGGGGTCGAGTCCAAGCTCCTGGCCCCGCCTCTTCACTGGTCGCTACTAGGTCACTCTCCCTGGACCGTGAGCTTTATCATACCTCTGCTTAAAGCTATGTGTGGATCCCGCCTCCACTACATTGCTGTGATGGATATGTGAGGCAGCGGGTCTCCCACAGCAACAGCCTGGTTGACCACGCAAGCACCAAACAAGCCTGGTCCATCGCCAGGCTCAGAGAGTAAATAAACTCTCAAAACTCTTCAAAGGTAAAGACTTGGTGTTCAGCACTATTTTCAATATCCTTGGCTTTGCTTTCAGTCACAAATTCCTCAAAACCATGAAATTCATCTTCACTGACACTTCCATCTGTGTTAGAACTATGACTTGGGAAAAGAAGAGCCCCAATTTGCTGGGGAGTGAGGTATTCCTTACTGCTAGGCATGGTAAACATAGTGTACTGAATTGTCACACCCACAATGCACTGCTACCTCCCCGATCTTTTTTATACTGCGCACACTAAGCACACAGATCCATTCTCTCACATGTAGGCCTACCAGCTTTCTCCCACCTGATTTGAAGGTGCTAAAATTTTTGCGTAGTATTACGTGACTGACACTGGCTTGCCAGCCATAATTTTGCAGGAACGACATTGAAAGGTTTAACAATGGAGTTGTGTTCCCAAGACCTCATCGGTAAATGAATTTGTTGTTAAGTGAAGAGCATACTCTAATTGTAATGAGTTTGTGTCAACCATTTATCTCAAGAAGTATAAGTAACAGAAGTCCAAAATTTATTTTACAGCTCTATACAACACTAGTGAGGCCTCATTTAGATTATGCTGCTCAGTTTTGGTCCCCTTACTACAGGATGGATATAGACTCATTAGAGAACATACAGAGAAGAATGACTAAAATGATTTACTGTCTAAGGAATCTCCCGTATGAAGATAGTCTTAAAGCCTTAAATCTCCACTCTCTGGAGAGACGTAGAATGAGGGGAGATATCATTGAAGTGTATAAGTGGATGATGGGCATAAACAAAGGAGATATTAATAAAGTACTGAGGGTATCAAACCAGGTAAGAACCAGAAATAATGTATTTAAGTTGGATAAGTTTAGATTTAGAAAGGACATAGGTAAGTATTGGTTTTCTAACAGAGTTGTAGATGCATGGAACAATCTTCCCAGTAGGGTGATAGAGGCTAGGACCTTGGGTAGTTTTAAGAAGAGATTGGACAAGTATATGAGTGGTAGGGGCTGGGTTTGATTGGTGTCATTGGGTACGGGAGTTAATTCTTGGGTTGCTTTGGGTAGAGGTTGCTTTGATAAGGACCTGCCCTGTATGGGCCAGTAGGCCTTCTGCAGTGTTCCTCCATTCTTATGTTCTTATCTTTGATATTGTTTTAATGTCCAGATCCATTCTCTCACATGTAGGCCTACCAGCTTTCTCCCGCCTGATTTGAGGGCGCTAAAATTTTTGCATAGTATTATGGGACTGACACTGGCTTGCAAGCTGTAATATTACAGGACCAACAGTGAAAGGGTTAACGATGGAGTTCTGTTCCTAAGACCTCGTTGGTAAACAAATTCGTCACTAAGCGAAGAGCGTACTCTAATGGTAGTAAAATTGTGTCAACCATTTTTGAAATTGTTTTAATGTCACCTTTGCACTATATATAACATTTCTGTATATTGTTTTAAACAGAATAGAGGAAATCAGCTCCAATATACATTATTTAGGTATGCATACTGGTCAGAGAGCTCGTTGTAAGTAGGTATGCATACTGGTCAGAGAGCTCGTTGTAAGTAGGTATGCATACTGGTCAGAGAGCTCGTTGTAAGTAGGTAGTATGCATACTGGTCAGAGAGCTCGTTGTAAGTAGGTATGCATACTGGTCAGAGAGCTCGTTGTAAGTCTGAAGCATTGTTAAACAAGTATGTCCCTAAATGAGGAGAGGCTGCATTATATTTTGGCACATTTTACATAATGAGATTGAAATCATTTTAATTTTGAAATAATCTTAAAATATTTAGGAATGTTTGAGTTGTTGGTGGAAACACTGGTCTGCATTTGGAATGTTTTTAATTTTTATTTTTATTCATGGATGCAATCTTACATATTCTTGGACTGCTGATTGTAAATATCTAAAACATTTTGCTCTATCACATAAGGATTTTGAATAAAATACAAATTAATGATAAAAAAAATGTGAATTTTTAATAAATTGTTACTTTATTAAAATTAGGCAATAATCATGGAAAAGCACCTAGTAGGAAAGCAGCAACTTTTAAATCACCACAAATGAGAAAATTGTAGTTCTGGTACTTGATTGTAGATATTAGTGTCTTCATATTTGCTTAAGTTTCTGACATTTGGACACTATGGCCAATTGCCACAGATGCAGCTGTGTTGCCATTGTAGAGAAGTACAGCCTTTAAACTTCTTTTAGAAGAATCAGTGAAGAGTCTCCATTCATCTATTTTGTATGACATCTCCATGTGTTCAATAAGGCCAGAAATATTTGAACAGAAAACTAAAGGTTTCTCTTTGTCAAACAACTGAATGAATACCACTTCATGATGACGGTACTAAGCGAATGTTGTTCCAGGAGCTAGAAGCCTGTGTTCCTTCAGTCTAGAGCCAAGTAACTGTGCACTTTCTTTTGAAAGGTTAAGGTCTCTCACCAAGTTATTGAGCTCAACTTGGTTGAAGGGTTTGGGATTGTCATTTGCTGGTGGTTCATAGATGAAATTTGCCATGTCTCAGGTGGCACAGGTACAGGAATATCTTCAGAGTGTGGAACAGGCCTTATTGCTGAAGGAATATTTGGGTATATTACATAATCTTTAGTCTTCTTGTTGAATCCAGCTACTTTAATCATTTCATTTAAAGTGGACACTGAGAACAATATTGATTTTATTGTGTCTGAACAGTGAAAGCGTTAATGACTTTGCCTTTGTTCTCCCTACCGATATTTGGCTGTCTCTTTATGTTGATGACTTTATGACAGCTTGTGCAGGCACTTACTGTCATCTTGTGGCAGCCTCTTGCCAGAATGTTCTTAGTTTTGCTTGCCACTGGACCACCTCTCATGGGTTTAAGTTTTCTGTTGCTAAAGCACATCAGATTACTTTCACAAGATGCCCTGTTGTCCCTCATTCTGCTTTATACTTTTATAGATATTCCAACCCTGAATGAGATATGGACAGGTTTGTAGGTTTTCTGGTTGATCCCCAATGTCCTGCAGGCCATACATAACCTCCCTGAAAGCTGTTTGTCATATCCACCTATACCTACTGAAATCTCTAGTACCTTTTTCTGGGAAGCTGATAGATGAGCTTTTCTTCATATTCTTTCCATCCTAAATCTATCTATATTGGACTTTGTGACCAACTGTATTCTACATCCTCATCACTTTTGAATCTTGATCCTATTCATCCTCATGGGTTGCAACTGTGTCTCAAGGCTTTTCATTCTTTTGTAACTGAAAGCCTATATGTGAAGGTCAGTGTGGTGCCCATTGTGAGTTATTTTGTCAGCTCTCCCTGCCTTCTCGATCCTTCCATGTACAGGACAGAGGACAGAGGTTTTTCCAGTAACTTAACATCTGACAACCTCATTCACGTGATCTACTTTCACTGGTGAGTCCTGTCAACCTGTGACAATGTTCTCATCTGCTGCACCTCACCTCTTCTTCCTCATTCCTCTGTATTAGATAAAAAAAGCCTATTGCATAGGCATAACATCTCTTGAAATAAACAACCAGGTGTTGGACATGTCTTAGTTATCTTTGTATTTAGTTGAAAACCATTTAATAAAATCTTTTAATTTAACTTAACAAAATCAGTATTATTAAATTTACAGTGTTGATTATTGTCACGTCTTTTTTTTTTTTTTTTTTTTTTTTTTTTTTTGCAGTTCGTCACCTCAGCAAGAGAATTATACTTGGTGTCATCACCCAGTGCAATGAAAGTGGCAGATATACTGCAGAAATATGTGAGCAATGGTTATGTTGGCTGCTTTGCTGTGAATACATCGTGAGTGTCTATGTTTGTATCATAAAGATTACCTCATTATGCTGACAATTGCATCTACACCATCAACAACCAGTGAACATAGGTTTACTCACTATGATACTGTGCTTTTATAAATATAGTTCTACATGAATTATCAATGCCTTTTGCATCAAAATTTATTACCAATTAAAGGTCATCTTTTTAATCATTATGTAGAAGTAATAACAAAGGCAATTGAATACCTGGAGTTTACCTGGAGAAGGTTTCCGGGGTCAGCGCCCCCGCGGCTCGGTCTGAGACCAGGCCTCACGGTGGATCATTATCATGTAAACAGTTTTCCTAAATTTAGTAAATAGAACTATAAAGTATAGGAATTGTGCTTATTGATTGTTGGAAGAATATTTTAATGTATTATTTGTGTTACTGTCTTCAAGTAATGACTGTGTTCAGGATATTGTAGGTGATCTATAGCACTGTCTTAACTTCAGATATTTTATCTTCACACATTCCTTCCATCATCTTCTTAATTGGTAGATGTCTATTACTGCACTGACCTGGAAAATATTTGTATTAATCTTATATTTTCCTGCTTATATTTCAGTATTGTATTTTACTATCATTATCTTACTATATGTTTTACCTGCCTCCAAAGTGTTTTCTTAACACTTAAACTGTCCACAACCCTCGGATTGAAAGACCTTTCTGTGTCAACAAGTTTGAAAATATGTATATGAGAATATATGAAAATTATTTCATCTTCTAGAATTGTAAGGAATTGTTTATCTAAAGGTAGGATGCTAGAAATGTCAAATTTGATGTAATACAGAATTATGCAGGTTAGAAGTTAGAGAAAATCACAAAAGTGATTTCCACTAATATAAGACTTGTTTTAGGCTAATTTTGGTGCTCAGTTTTTTTGCCAGTATACTTTCCGTACTATCAATTGATTGCAAAAGTTTGTCCATTTAGCCATCCAGAATTTAGAAATTTAACCAGTTTTATAATGCAACAAATTTTATTTTAAAAACACTGCATTCATTACTGCATCGAAAGAGTCTTTACTCTTTTACCAATAATTATATCTCCAGGATTCTCTTATACACCACTTGCCCTTCATTATAATCTGTCAAACAATATTCAAAGTTTTTCCAATTTTCTTAGCTAATAATCCATGGAAACCAAGCATAAGGCAGACTGGGGGAAAGGAAAAAAAAAAACAAATCTATAGTTTCTGCTTCTTACAGATCTATTTCTGCCATTCCTTGTCTAAAATTGGCCTAAATATTCTCCATATACCTAGTTAGTCTTCCAGTTTACCTGTTTGTGTAATAAACAGTCAATAACCAGCTAAAAAAAATTCCAGTGATTGCTATTTTAACTGAAATACAGAGTTAAATGCTAGCTCAATCCATCTTGCCTCTGTAGCAGAATTCTTTTCATACTGTGAACTTGTAGTGCAGAAACCCATTCTCTCAGGTCTGTGCCAATATTTACTGCTTCACAAATTTGGGAGCTCTATGAATTAAACATAGTTGCATGTTGTGGATACTGCTGTGATGTACTAGTATAGTATACAGAGTTTAAGAGTGTGTGCTATTGTTGTTGTATGATATTGTTAATATATCCACTGATATACACTAGCAGATAACAGTATTACTTGGGAAACAAAATGTTAATTAATTTATTGTTTACTGTTTATATACAGCCAAAAAAATACTGTTACTACAAAACTGATGTGAATTACTTGAACATGTACCATTACATCTCATTTAGTGTATTTAGAGTTTGTATAAAGCTTTTGTACTAATTGCAAGAAGCACTTTCTGTGCGTACATCTATAATGTAGGCACAATATTCATTAGTTAAAATTTTCAGATGTGTAATGTGTGACAGTTCAGTAAGGACAAAAATTATATCAGTACTTATTATCTTAGTGACTTCTGAGATCAGTAGCATGATGCAGTGCATAAAAGTTCCTTCAAAAAGCAACACATATCAGTGTTCAGAGTGTTTAAAAGTTTTTGCCAAAAAATCATATCTAGTACAACACATGGGAGTTCATTCACTAGATAAACCATATCAGTGTTTAGAGTGTTTAAAAGAGTTTTCACGAAAATCACACCTAATACTACACATGAGAGTTCATTCACGTGAAAAGCCATATCAGTGTTCAGAATGTTTAAAGGACTTTTCACAAAATTCAACTTTGAAACAACACATGAAAGTTCATTCACAAGAAAAACCGTATCAGTGTTCAGAATGTTTAAAAGGCTTTTCACGAAAATCCAATTTTATACAACACACGAGAGTCCATTCACAAGAAAAACCATTTCCATGTTCGGAATGTTTAAAAGACTTTTCATGTAAATCAAGTCTGTTAAAACACATGAAAGTTCATTCACAAGAAAAACCATTTCAATGTTTAGAATGTGTAAAAAACTTTCCATGCAAATCAAGTCTATTAAAACATATGAAAGTTCATTCACAGGAAAAACCATTTCACTGTTCAGAATGTTTAAAAGATTTTAAACGGAAATCCACTCTGATACAACATGTGAGAATTCATTCACAAGAAAAACCATTTCAGTGTTCAGAATGTTTAAAAGATTTTTCACAAAAAGCCACTCTAGTACATCACATGAGAATTCATTCATTAGAAAAGCCGTATCAGTGTTCAGAGTGTTCGAAAGGCTTTTCACGAAAATCGCATCTGATACGACACATCAGAGTTCATTCAGTAAAGAATCCCCTTCCTGAAGGGTTCCCTTGATGCTGATAATGGGTTTAGGTTCTTAGGATTGGAGATACCCTCCTTTTCCTTAGATCAAACCTGATTAACCTTTACTCCTCCCAGTTCCCAGGTGCTGCACGACAATGATTATAACGATAATAATAAGTATTATTATTATTATTATTATTATTATTATTATTATTATTATTATTATTATTATTATTAAGTGTTGATGTAGCTACCTCAGAGAAAAAGACTACATGATTATTGTATATATTGTTTTTTTCATCTAGTATTAAATCACTTTTTATGTTAATAGTTAAAATGAAAATATCATGTTTTACATTATTATTTAACCAATATTATTAGTGTATGTGTGTAGGTAAGCTGTAACAACTACAGCTCTCACTGTACTCATTGAAGGAGGGTTTTGATTGGCTGCCAAAATTGCAAACTACCTGCCTACTTGTTTTGTTGGTGCCAGGGGTAAGGTTGTACGAGTCTACATACATTGGATCTGCAGGTCGTACCTCTCTCTCTCTTACTGTTCCTCAAGCAGAATAAACCTTCTTATCTCAACTCTGTTTGGGAGAACTCTGTTCTCCTCAGCTTGTGTTATTTAGACTGTTTTTGATAGAGTATATCTCCTTTGGTATTCTGGGACATACATCTCATAACTCTTCAACTTTGTTCACAAAGCAATATTTAGACTTACAGTGGACCCTCAACTAACGGCGGCATCAAGTAACGTCGATTCATCTAACGGGGCTCTTTAGCAAACAAAAAAGCTCCCAACCCCAAAGGGGAAAAAAATCATCAAAAGACATTTATCCCGAAATTTTTCCATGGCCGGGGCGCGGCCTAGCGGGGCCCCGCCTCCCCAAAACTCCAGGGACAGCTATTTTTTTACAACCCTTTCCCGGGCGAAATTTCCCAATTTTACCTTTTCCAAAAATTTTTTTGTATTATTTTTTAATGTTTTTAGTGCTTATAACCACTAAACAAGCCACCATGGGCCCAAAGAAAGTTTCTAGTGCCAGCCGTGTGATAAAGAAGGAAAGAAACTCAATAAAATTCAAGAAAAAACTCGTAGCAAAGTACCAGAGTGGAGGAGGAAGAGAAAGGGGAGAATGTGCCTTCTGCAGTGATTCATTGATTCTATGATATGTATGAAACTAAAGCAGTAGGTATCGATAAAGGCTATAGTGCCAGCTAGCGATAAAGTGTAGAATTAACAGTGTAGCAAGTAAGTTCAGCGAGTAAGCGATAGAAAAACGACACGAAAGTAACTCTCTAATGTTGTTGGATGTGTGTACATCCGCTGAACATACGCCGGCCTGTTATCTTCCACTACCCTAAACCTCTGCCAGCATCTCCTCCATCAAACTAACTAATTAAACTAACATCTCCTCCAAGGTAAGTGTAAATATAAAAGTGTAAGCATAAAAGTAAATATATTAAGTGTAAATATAAAAGGACCCCAATGGAAATACGTAAGTCACCCTGACTTCTTTGGGTTATCCTAGGCACTTTACACATATGCTGCTATGTATAATAATCTATGTAACTGTATTTGTATATACCTGAATAAACTTACTTATTTATAAATTAAAATGTAAATATTTCTTATTTATAAATTACATACATTGTTTAAGTATGATGGTGGTGCTGGCAAAATCCTCCACCGCCACCAACATGGCTTCTCTCAGTGGCGGCCCTTAAACCCAACAATAACACTTACACCATTTACTCCTCTCATACATTATGACATATTTTATTCATTCTAGAGTATATATCATGTTTCTATGTTATTAATATTGTTTATAATGTCACATTAGATGAATTGTGATAGATAAATAAGCCATAGAGATGATATTAGCATATTGAAGCATAATAAACTTGTCTTCCTCTTGCCTCCTACATGTCTGTCATACACCAACAAGTCGAGTCAGTAAAGGTAAGTCAGTAAAGGTAAGTATGATGTTAAATGTTCATTTATCCATTTTATTAGTGCTTTATATTTATTATTGTTTTCTGTATGTATATTTATATTTAATCTTTAAAAAAAATATTTTTTGTTAATACTTTTTTCTGTCTGATATGGATTAATTGGATTTCCATTACAGTCGACCCCCGGTATTCGATATTAATCCGTTCCTGAGAGCTCATCGAATACCGAAAATATCGAAAAGCAAATAAATTTTCCCCATAAGAAATAATAAAAATCAAATTAATCCGTGCAAGACACCCAAAAGCATGAAAAATTTTTTTTTACCACATTAAATATTAAGTTTAGTGCAATAGAATAAGTACAATAACAACAATACCAATAGAATAATAACAATAGAACTTACCTTTAATGAAGATCTGGTGATGATTGATGGGATGGGAGGAGGGGAGAGTGTTGAAGTTGTTACTGTTTAGAAGGGGAATCCCCTTCCATTAGAACTTGAGGTAGCAAGTCCTTTTCTGGGGTTACTTCCCTTCTTTTAATGCCACTAGGACCAGCTTGAGAGTCACTGGACTTCTGTCGCACAACATATCTGTCCATAGAGGCCTGTACCTCTCATTCCTCTATGACTTTCCTAAAGTGGTTCACAACATTGTCAGTGTAATAGTCACCAGCATGGCTTGCAATAGCTGTGTTAGGGTGATTGTCATCAAAAAAAGGTTTGCACTTTAAGCCACATTGCACACATTTCCTTAATCTTTGAAGTAGGCAACTTCTTCAATTTCTCTCTCCCCTCCTCCGAAGCAGTTTCCTCAGGTTTGGCCTCTTGCTGTTGAAAATGATCTAGCAGCTCATCAGTGGTTCATTCATCATTGTCCTCCTCCACCAACTCTTCCACATCCTCCCCACTAACCTCCAACCCCAAGGACTTCCCCAATGCCACAATGGATTCCTCAACTGGCATAGGCTTCTCAGGGTTAGTCTCAAATCCTTCAAAATCCCTTTTGTCTACACATTCTGGCCACAGTTTTTTCCAAGCAGAGTTCAAGGTCCTCTTAGTCACTCCCTCCCAAGCCGTACCTATAATGTTTACACAATTGAGGATATTAAAGTGATCCTTCTAAAACTCTTTTAGAGTCAGTTGAGTTTCTGTGGTCACTACAAAGCACTTTTGAAACATAGCTTTTGTGTACAGTTTCTTGAAGTTGGAAATGACCTGCTGGTCCATGGGCTGCAGGAGAGGGGTGGTATTAGGAGGCAAAAACTTGACCTTAATGAAGCTCATGTCCCCAGAAAGTCGCTCTGAAAAGTCTGTAGGATGACCAGGGGCATTGTCTAATACCAGGAGGCACTTAAGGTCTAATTTCTTTTCAATTAGGTAATTTTTCACAGTGGGGGCAAATGCATGGTGTAACCAGTCATAGAAAAAGTCTCTAGTGACCCATGCCTTACTGTTTGCCCTCCACTCTGGGAGTTTCAGAGTGATACACCAATAAAGGCTTAACTTAGCAATCACCATTAGCATTGGCACACATCAACAGGGTAAGCCTGTCTTTCATAGGCTTATGTCCTGGGAGTGGCTTTTCCTTCTGAGTAATGTAGGTCCTGCTTGGCTTTTCTTCCAAAACAGACCTGTTTTGTCGCAATTAAACACTTGTTCAGGTTTCAAGTCTTCACTGTCTATGTAATCCTTGAATTCCTTCACATATTTTTCAGCTGCTTTTTGGTCCGAACTGGCAGCCTCACCATGCCTAATCACACTATGTATGCCACTACGATTCTTAAATCTTTCAAGCCAACTTTTGCTGGCCTTAAATTCACTCACATCAGTACTAGTTGCAGGCAATTTTTTTACCAAATCGTCATGTAACTGCCTAGCCTTTTCACAAATGATCGCTTGAGAGATGCTATCTCCTGCTATCTGTTTTTCATTTATCCACACCAATAACAGTCTCTCAACATTTTCTAACACTTGCGGTCGCTGTTTCGTAATCACAGTTGCACCTTTTGCAAGAACAGCTTCCTTGATTGCCGTTTTCCTGCTCAGTATAGTAGAGATGGTTGATTGGGGTTTACTATACAACCTGACCTGCTCCGACACACGCACTCCACTTTTGTACTTTGCAATTATCTCTTTCTTCATTTCAATAGTCATTAGCACCTTTTTTCTCGAAGGGTTGGCACTAGAAGCTTTCTTGGGGCCCATGGTGACTTATTTTGCAGAAACAAGCACCAAAAACAGTGATAATATGGAATGTACCGAATGTATCCTTAGATGCGCACACACTGGCTGGCTTGTAAACACTGGCACACACGGGGCAGTTCAGGCTACACTTTCAAATTCAAATTCAAATTCAAAGTTTATTCTCTATAATGATTACAATGTTGAATTTACAGAATTTGGTTGTTGTGTGGTTTACATGTAGTTAAATAATGATTACAGAGTGTACCACTAGAACGCCTAGCATGGCTAGGCATTTCGGGCAGACTTAGTTTAATTCTTTATTTTAAAATATTACAAATTATGAGGTAAGTTGGTATTATGGCTAAGTGACTAAATACTAGTTTGTGAGTTTAGCAATGTGAATGCTTTTGTTTTGGCACAGTACATAGTTTCAGTATTGGAGTATCATAGGATTCATTATTTTAAGATTGAGATTAATATTTCTGTTTATGGTCAAATGGGTGAGTGAGTGTAAGTGTGAACCACCAGGTGGTTTTTTGTGTAGTTAGTTGATGGGGTTTATCAGGGGATAAGATGTTTTCTAATGGTAGTTTTGAAGGTGATGAATGTGTCTGCAGTTCTAGAGTTCTCAGGTTTAGGGTGTTCAGATTTTAGGGCTTTGACATACATTGAATTTTTTGTAAAGGTTTAGTCGGACATGGGGAATGTCGTAGAGATGTTTTGTGTCGGGGTGTTATGCCTGTGGGTTCTGTCAAAACTATCAAGAAAGCATTTTAGGTCAAGGTTGATATTGGAGTTTAAGGTCCTGTAGATGTAGATTCCCACAGTAATAGTGTGGATGTATGAACAGGGAGTAGTTTAGATCTATGAAGAGTGGGGGGGTGTGTTGCCAGGGATGGGATTTAGTGATTATTCTTTACTGCAGCTTTTTGTTGGGTTATTATTGGCTTTGGGGTGTGTTGCTGCAGTTGTTTCCCCAAGCAAAATAGCATAGGTGAGGTATGGATAAATAAGTGAGTGGTTTTTAGTGTGAGAAGGGCATTTTGTGGCACGTAGTATCGTTCTTGGAGAGGTTTCCCAAACTGTTTTGGATACTTTTTTGGTTTGTGTGTTGGATATGGGTGCTGAAATTCAGGTTGTCGTCAAGGTATAGGCTAGGAATTTGCCCTCATTATGTCTGGAAATTAGAGTGTTGTCGATCTTAATGTTAATTTGTGCATCTCCTGCTCTGCTACCAAACATATATAGTAGGTTTTGCCAGTGTTAAGCTTTAAGTTTATTGGCTGTCATCCAAGTTGATATTTTGATCAGCTCCTCGTTAACCAAATGGTGTTGAGGGGGGTGGCAAGATTGGGGTGAAGATGAATAAGTCGTGTCATCAGCAAAGAGAATGGGTTTCAGGTGTTGGGATACGTTTGGAAGATCATTGATGTATATGGGGGAAAGAGCAGGGAACCAAGGACATTTCCCTGCGGAACTCCAGTATCAAGTGGCCGTGTTGTTGTGCTTTTGTCTTTAATGGTAACATACTGATACCTTTTTAGTAAGGTAAGGTTTGAAATAAGCAAGCGCATGGCCTCTTATACCGTAATGGTCAAGTTTGTGGAGTA